AGATGCATGTCGTATGATGCCCTCGTTTTTTTTTTCTGGTCCATCTCTATCGCTGATGACCAGTTCCCACTCCAGCCTATTCTCTGAGCTCCTGTTATAGCTCCACGGTGCTAATTTCCCTTTGTTTCTGTGATTAGCTCATTCTTGTAAACTCTTCTAATAAAATATTAACCATTACAACCATGTCGTGAATGCCAGATATAGTTGCAATCGACTTACATTCATGAGTTTATACCATCTTGGGCAGATGTTATATAGGATTGTTATATAGGCTGGTGCCATTTTACAGACAAAAATATTGAAGCACAGAGCAGTTAGGTGCCACTGTCACACAGCTAAATGTAGGGTTCTGTGATTCAAGGCTGGCTGGTGAAACTCCAATGTTTGGCCTCGAAAACTGTATTTCCACTCTAAAGACCCCCGACTTGAACAATAAAAGCCCCATGATGCCCTAGGCTTGCTGCTGGCACCCTGCTTAGTTACTAGAAAGCAGAGATTGAGTTTATGGGTCTCCCCCTTCCCTCACATCTCCACTTCACCTTGCATGTACCAGTTAGCCGAATGTGTGTTGAGTACAGGGCAGACTAACAGTGTAAGGCCCAGGCACTAGTAAGGAATGCCAAAGGCAAAGAGGGAGCCCTGAAGAGGGGTGAGAAAACTGGCTTTTTCAAGAGAGCAGCGCTGGGTGGAAGGATCTGGCAAGTATGTCAATGAACACTGGAGAGAGACCAGTCAAAGAAGAAGCTGGGACCCAGGATGGTAAAGACCCTGGGGGGATGGAAGGCAGGAAAGATCCAGCTGCCATGAAGCCAGGAATGAGACCAACAGCTGCCAGAGATGCTAGTTTTCTGAAGAAAGATGAAGATGAGAACTGGACCTGGTGAAATCCTTCACTTTTGAGGTTGCAGGGAACCATGTCAGTGGAAGGCAAAGCAAATATCCTCTGCACTAAAAGTAAGTTACTCATTGTAGCTTAGGTTCTGAGCTGAAAGAGTTGGGTGGCTGCTTAGTGCACCTAGAATATCTGGGGGAGGATGTTTAGAATTTAGTCAATGCTCAAAATGTTAAGGAATATGTGAATAAGCATGCCTTAATTGTTGAGGGCCGTATAGCAGTTGCCTGGCCTTGTACTTGCTCATGCTTGGTTGGTATGGAGACATCACCTCTTGAATTTTCCTATTTGCACTATAGGGTTGGTGGGCACTTGATCTCCTTCACTTGTGGGCCAGACTCAAAGGTGGTTACTCAAGAGGCAGGCAAGGAAAGGACAAGACAAAGGCAAGCAGAAAGGTGATGTTTTCAAGTCAGCACGTAGCAGGGGCTAGAAATTATGGACCATGAGGTGGCTGGGAATGGCTAAACCTGGCTTCAAGAGAAGGATCTAGGATAGGAAGAGGGGGCGAGGAGAACTGAGAGTGTACAGGATGAAGAATAAATCCGACACCCAGGGTCTCCTTATCCCCTGCTTCTTTCACCATTTCAATTCGCCCTTACCCTTTAAGTTCCCCCAGCGGCCATTGACTACTCTCAGGATGAGGAAATGCTGAAGACTAATCAGGCAAAGGGTATCTGAATTTTGTCTCTAATTTGTACCTACCACATGTTCTTGCAGAACTTTTGTAGTTTCCTGCAGCCTCAGTTTTCTCTTCTCTAAGATGGGGATAGCAATCAAATCAGCCCTACAGATTTACTGTAACAATAACTGAGAATATTCTACTCATTACCTGAGTTCTGAGTCTTCAACACAGAAGCGCATTGGAGTAAATTCTAGTAACTGGCTAGTGTCACTTTTCATGTGGAAGTCTTCAGAGGAAAGAGTGCAGAAAGGACAGAGCTCACCCAAAGGAAGATTTAAAAAAAAAAAATTCTCTCTTTGTTCGGCTCTGGAACTCCTTCTATAGACCAGGCTGGCATCAGAATAAGAGCTCCACCTGCCTCTGCCTCCCAAGTGCTAGAATTAAAGGTGTGCGCTATCACACCCCTCTTACCTCTCATTTCAACTTCTTGCCATCACAGCATGCACTTCATCTTGAAATGATGCTCCCGATGTTGGCCAGTTCTTCTCTGAGGTATCTACCTGACAGTCACTACATAGGTTGGGCTTTTTGCTCTTCCAGCTTCTGATTGTCTGTGTTCTTTAACACCAAAGCTGGAAAAAGGTACTCCATGATTATAACTGTGCTTGAGCACATAGGAGAAGGTTTTGATAGTATTGTGCTTATTGTGCTTAGCAGCGATCTTATAAACTATGCTCTATCACTGTTCCCACAGCAGAGGCAATAACGGAAATAGATTTTGGATCTATCCCTATCCATTGTGAAAGTTAGTAGAATAGCTAACAATTAATTAGAAAGGGTTAATCTATGTGGCCAGTGAATAGACTCAGTAGGTCAAGGCATTGGCCTCAGAAACCTTGAGCTATGTGCTTCTGATGCCTATAGTCCATGTAAATGTGGATAAGAGATCTGGCTTCACAAAGTTGTCCTCTGACTACCATATGCATCCCCACCCCCCAAATACCATAATAGAAAACGGTTAATGCAGAAGGAGGTAATTTAACTGAGTAGAATGGTGAATGGGTATTTGTAGGGAAAGAAGGGATGGAACTATAAATGTTCACACATGAAGGAAAGATTGTTTCCTTACAATGATAAAAGATCGCAAGTAAATAGTTAATAAAGGACAAATGAATGAATGAGAGAGAATGAACGAATGAACCAACGAGAAGTGAAGGTCTTGTCCAGCCCCAAGTTCCTGGGTAGCATGAATATAGAGAACCTGGACATTTTTCTCCCGGCATTGAGATGCTAAAAGCAAGAGCATAGGATATGGTAGGTGTCTGTTTTCTATGCTAAACATTCTAATTGGAGGAAGGCTGGATTGCAAGCAAGGAGAGGACTGTAAATCTGTGAGCAGGGGACCAGTTTGAAGGCTCTCGAAGGTACAAAGCTGCAAATCCATAGAAGAGGAGCAAGGCTGGGGAAGTTGCATGGGGAGTGTTAGGTACGAACTGAAAATATTTGCAGTAATACATGGGAATGCTTTGCACAAACAACCCAGAGCGAAGCGTTCCTCACTGGGAGCACAGTTCTCCCTCTGGATGGAGTTTGGTTGCTATTGGGCTGTATGCAACCGCTCAGGAGTGCCTTTGAGCCTCATACTGAGATGAAGAGGCAAACACAAACCCAGGCAGGCTCTGAACTCTAGGAATGCTTTACTGGGGGAATTTATGCACAAGGAACCGTTGGCTTTTGCAATGGCCACCATACTGAAACATAAATCACACTGAATTTGTTTGAAATCTCTTCTTTAGGTGGGTGTATGTTTTGACAAACCTTGCAGCAAATTTGGCTCAGCTTTTGGATTTGTAATGAAACCTGAAACCCCGCATGCTGGCCTGCCTTGGGGTCTCCAGACACATGTTCTGAGCAGCCTTAGAGTAACGCCTGGCCTAATCCCATCCTGGCAAGTGAGGGACTGTGCTGGGCTGTGCTGTGGAGTGGAAGCTGCAAGCCTTGCTTGTAGGTGGGAGACAAGACTGATCAAGACAGCAAGCTGGGGACATTTTTAACCTATTCCCTATTGACAGGTGACTCTAAAATACCCCAAGCCATGACTGGGGCAGAAAGTTAATTAATCTGCTTATTAAAAAGAAGAAATGTCTCATTTGCATGCATTTGCATTCAGGTCTTATATTTCTCTTGCTTTTTGGTGGTCCTTGCTCCCTTTTCCCCCTTAACACCACCGAATTAGCTAGGTATGGACTCTGCCTTTCTGTTTTCTGGGGCTGGGCTTTGTTTAAGTGCCATGTATCTGGTGAACCCCAAAGTCAGCACAATTGGGTGCTTTTCTAGATCCCCCTAATTCTGTGTAGCAATTCTCCCCTCCCACGGGCTATCTGAGGTTTCTTCCACAACTGACCACTCTTGGGAAGCCAAGACTTCATCCCCATCAGAGTTGGGCATGTTGCTTGGGGAACAATACATTCAACCTGCAATTTCTTACTCAATTGAATTTTCCATGGTCATTTTCTGAGAAAAAGGGATGTTTTCTCCTTTGCTTTTTCTATCTTACTGGGCAGTCTGTTTTTGTTTGTTTGTTTGTTTGTTTTTGGAATTTTTTTTTTTTTGTAGAAATAAAAGCCCATTTCCTCTTGGATGGATTTTAATGGCTCCACATCCAGGTTGGGGTGATACTGCTTTTTCCTAAGACTGAGCAACCTGAATGTGGGACCTCTAAAATCACCTTTAAAGGGCTTGACTAAGGCTTTGGGAGAACAGAAAGGGGGCTGGGCATATGGGTAGTTTGTAAGGGGGCGGGAGGGAAATGCTGAGGCACAGCTGGCTGTCCAAAGTACAGCAGGTACAGCCAAAAGTCTGCAGGGAGGTGAGAGGCCAGAGGCATCTTCCCAAGGGAGTGAATCACCAGCCCAGTTCTGAGGGGCCAGAGTGCCAGTGTTACTGGGTTTGGGAGGCATCCTATTTCTGATACATTACAACAGTGTGGCTGGTCAGGGGCGAGAGGCTCAGGCAGGGGATGAACCCACCTCTATGCTAACAAGCTTAGCAATCATGCTGTGCTGGGTCTTGGCTGGAGGGGAAAAAAATTAAAACTCAGCCTTAGACCTCTTGTCAGACTATGAGGAGAATTATATTTTTGAACTAGTCTACAGTGTGGACAGGAAATGACCTCTTCACCAACTGCTTCTTTAAAAACAAGCAGTGGTGCCTCTAGCTATCCAGCCTGCTTCTCTCCTCTCTCTCTCTCTCTCTCTCTCTCTCTCTCTCTCTCTCTCAACTCCCTCTCCCCCTTCTCCCTCCTCCTTTCCTCCTTCCTTTCCTCCCTTCCTCCCTCCCAACCTCCAACCTCCGCTCTCTCCCTCTCTGAGCTCCAGCGCTCCCTCCCCTCCCGCGCTCCCTCCCTCCCTCCCTCCTCGCTCCCTCTCCTCTCTCGCTATAGAGGGCTCCCACAGCACTTCCCAGCCAGTGTGTTCAGCCTGCCTGCCTGCCTGCCTCCGTGTGTGTGTGAGCGTGTGTGCGTGCGTCTACTTTGTACTGTGAAGAACACAGCCCATGTGCTCTGCATGGACGTTCCTGATACTCTGTTAAGCTTGATTTTCGACAAGCAGGCAAGATGTCCAGCACACCACATGACCCCTTCTATTCTTCTCCTTTCGGCCCATTTTATAGGAGACATACACCATACATGGTCCAGCCAGAGTACCGAATCTACGAGATGAACAAGAGACTGCAGTCTCGCACAGAGGTAAGTTCTCCAACCTTGGCGTGTGTTTGTGGATTTAAAAAAGAGAAAAAGCTGTGCATGGGCTTTTTCCTGGGGTTCTTGGCCGAATTCTATGGGAAGTGTCCCACCAGCTACTACCACATAGGTGGAAAAAAGCGCAGCAGGATGAATCCACGAGTTTGAATGCTGGGTTTCCAGGGACAGTAACTCTTGGAGCTGGGGACAGTTTTTGCCGGAATCTTAGAATCTGGAAATAGACAAGCCAGCACTTGGTTCACATGTGGGGTCTCTAGAAATGTAGATTGTTCAGAACTCTGATGTTTGTAGGTTTAGAGATGGTCCTGTTTGTTGAAATATAAATTGCAAGAGATTTGTGAATGTTTGCCTCTCTCTCTCTCTCTCTCTCTCTCTCTCTCTCTCTCTCTCTGTGTGTGTGTGTGTAATAATATATACATTTAGTTGCAAATTCCAGAGGAAGTCTGTTTTGACCTACACTTACTTTTTCAAAGTGACTAAAATCGAGGTAAAAGGGACGAGAGAGGAGCCCTGCCTACTTCTCAGAACTCCCTGGAGGTGGGGTGGGACACACACACACACACACACACACACACACACACACACACACACACACGTTTGCCTGTTTCTGTGTTAAATTCAGAAACAGGTTGATTGAGGCAGTGGGGTTCTCTGCTTTCTTCTCTCTCTGATGGTTGTGCCTCCCAAGATTCTATCTTGGGACAGGAGCTGGTTTCCCATTCTGGCAGGCAAGAGGTTTAGGCATTTGTGATCAACCCCTTGAGAGAGGGAGACTGAGCCTCCCAGGCAGTGATCCCATCCAGGACTTCTTTAGAACTTTCCAAATCAAATGCGAAACTCCAGGCTTCTTGCTCACAAGCTCACAATTTAAATATTTAATTTTTCTCTGGGCTGGTTGAGAGGCAAGGCACACTGCCTAGTGCTCATCTGCCTGAAGTTGGGACTCGACTTGGTATTCAAGTGTTTTTTGTAGGTGTGTCAAAGTCTCTTGAGGAAGTAGAAGTCTCTGGGAATTGAGTTTTCTCTGCAGAGGCCAAATACCCAGAAGAATCATGCCACAGATGTGTTAGGGGAATAGCTTTTGTTGGTATTTGGAATGAAGGTTGACTTTTAACTCTGGGGAAGGATTCGAGTAAGTTCGTATGGTAAAATAAAAAAACAAAACAAAATACACTTGTTTTGAGTTGTCTACGGAGCCATAGAGAATTCCTGATGTTTAATGTATTGAATAGGGCTAACAAGATGTGACCTGCTTTCTGATTGGTTAACTGCTGGACAAGAGCTTGTGTGTGTGTGTGTGTGTGTGTGTGTGTGTGTGTGTGTGTGTGTGTTAAAGCCTGGCTGTCTTTATCACTGTTATTGTCTTTATATGTTAATACACCATGAATGTTAAATAAAATTGCTGGCACTGTGACTCTTTCTAGAAGCCAGAAACTCCTGTACAGTGTAGACTCTTATGCTTAAAGTGCCGAGTTCTTGGCAGTAAACAGGATTGTGTGTGTGTGCGTGTGTGTGTGCCTTCAGTGTGTTGCTTGTATGTGTGTGTTACAGTTTATATCTTCAATTTCGATCTGTGTAGCAGTGTGTTGGAATCTCCAGTCCCTGTCTAAGCTATCTGCTGGCAGAGCCTGCTTTCAGAATTTGGAGGATTGGGAATGCCTTAATATTGTAATAAAACTTTGAATAAACAAGAACAACTCTTTTGCTAAGAATGACTATTTCTAAAAACAATTAAAGAGACCATAGGCCATGGGAGCTTAGTCCTTGAAGACAGGGTTTAAAGATATCCTGTGTCCAGCTTACTTAGAAAGTTGTTGAGGCCTTGTGGAGGGAGTCTTTCACCCTCCTGTGGGTGAAGTGTGGTAGCTAGTCTTGGTCTGTGTGCCTCTGAACCCTTCCACAGCCCCAGGACAGCTAGCTTGAGTTGGAAACCTCCCTTCCTCCCTGGTCCCCATACAAATCCCTAAGATGGAATAGATTCCCCACTGCTTCATGTTTGAGATGTTTGGAAAGTCACCCATTAGTAGTACGCTTTTCCAAAACGACACATTAATCTTTTTGAGAGCTAAACCCAGGAACTTCCAACTTTTGGATAACAGGCTATGACTTTGAAAGATTTTGCTCTTAGTGCAGCTGAAGAACTGGGAGAGGCAAGTTTGTTTGGACAAATCTTTGAGTTTTTAATTTGTCCTGACAACAAAGTATTGCAAACTATTTTTTTTTTAGTGTGTTTCTGGACTTAACCTCTATACAAGTTCCTGCCTATTAAGTCTTTTAAAAGTAATTTTCTACACAGTTACATTGACACTTTTGTATCTGTTCAAGAAATTTGTTTTCATGGCATATGAAAAGGATAAAAACCATAAATTGCTTCTAATATATATATATGCATACCTAAGTATTCACGCTAAATATTAAAATTTGATAATAATAATACGTAGGTAGAGAAAAATATAGCTTTGCATAAAAAAGCTACAGGTAACTTTACCAGTGCTGGTTATTTATTATGCAGCTGTCCTGCAGCCCGAATAGGAACTGATCACAGTCACTGCATACTGCAAGACCGAGCTGTGCACACACGAAATTGGCTAGCGATCACTTTTAGAATTCAGTCAAGGCACACAATCATTGGGGTCTCCTCTCTCTTTTTCTCTCTCTCTCTTGCTTCTCCCACTCTTCCCTGCATGGTACAGTACTATTTTATTAGCTCCTGATTCTTCTCTCTTTTTCTCTCAAGTTTGTGTTCTCTTTGGAACATCTTCTTAGCTAAGAAGAAATTACAACAAATAATTAGAAAGATGACTCTCTTTAAAAAAAAAAAACGAAGTCAAAAAAATAAAAAAAAAGGAAATAAGCTATAGTGATAAACTCATGCAGAAACAGGACATTGCTCTCTCTCCCCTTGAGTGACTGACTCCAGAATATTCGTCTGTGTACATTTCTTCCAGTTAGATCCACGTCCTGCAGACACTGGGTAGTATTGGTTTGAAGAGCATTGGGTTGGAAGTTGGTCCTATTTCTAGCTCATTCTTGTCCCTCACTTAACTAGCGAGGGTGGAGTCTGGATTTTCTCACCAGCAAATCGCCTGCCATTTCCCTTGAATTTGAAAACTCCAAATGGTTTTGCCTTAGTACGAAAAAGTATCAAGAAGCAGAGTGAAGCCTGCAGACGTTGTGTTCTGTGTGTGCTATTTAGCTCCAACTTACAAATGGTAGTGAAAGAACCAGCTATTCCTGTAGAAAACTTGAAAGTCTGGGTCCTGCTAGGCTTGGTACAGCTGGCGCCGGGATGGCAAGCCATTCCCGGACTAAGTAGGTCTTCAATTAACATTTGCTGACTAGCAAACCTGGAGATAAAAGGGGTGGGGGGTAGAGAGAACTTCAGAACCTTGTCACTGAAATTACAACAACAACTCTGCATCTGTGAGGGGCCCGGGACTCCCTGAGGAGCTGTCTTACCCCACACCCCCCACGTTTGTTTCATTATCATGAGGTCATTTAACTCCCTAATCTTTGTGGTAAAGCAAGTATTTAAGAGATTGGACCTAACCTCTTTAGGAAGGAATACGAGCCCATCACAAAGTAAACAGCCAACACTCAACTCTATTTTAACTGAGGATGCCTGTACTAAGAAATAAAATCTCTTTGCCACATTAACACCTTAGGAGATTTGGATAAATGTGTGAAGTCCCCACCCCATCCCCACCACCAAGCTGCCTCACTCTAAAAGGAAATTAAGAGAAACTTGGAGTTAAGTACCACTGTTTTTCATGAGCAGTGGGAAAGGGTTACATTTTCTATTTAGGACTCTACCATAAATTGACCCCCATGTCTTCCAAAATCCATTTATTTGAATGGTTACACAGTGCAAATTTCTTTTGGAAGAACACGACCACACAGTGATATAGTTTAATTTAACATGGTGCAGAGACTCCAATCAGATAGGACATAAAAAAATATATATATCTTCTAAAGACTTCAAGATTAAAAAAAAAAAGACTTTAGGATTTGTTTTGTGAAAAGCTACAACAAAAACAAAAACAGCCATTTAAAAGAAGTCCACACTGTGAAAGGAAAATATAGGTGTGGTGTCCTAGGGTTCAAAGTACTAGGAATTAGAGTGGTGAGTTGGATAATATTGGATTATTGCAGAATTTTAGTTAGTTCATCACGTGGCTTAACAACAATTCTTTGGTACTGCAGATAAATTTTCAATGTCTTGTTCCTTCAATGCCAATGGTTAAAAATGATTCCGTTATGAAGATGTTTTGAACTCTATTTTTTTCATGTTGTTATTGCACTGATTTTAACAAAATTACATAAAACAACAGTAACTTGTAGTATCCTTATTTTTTTAATCAACATCATACATCCTATTGCAAATGAGAAAACTGTGACTACAATGGGAAGCAGTTCACAGGAGGAGTTTGTTAGAATTATAGTGTTTAGTGTTACACGATTGAATATGGATGCTTTGAAATGTTTGAAGACCTTGAAATTCAAATCTACTGCTTTTCACCCTTCCTCAGCTCAACTCTGAAACTCCCCAGGAATGGTGAGAGGGGAGAAGGGTTTGCTTTGTTCCTTTATTTCAGCTACATTTGTATATACTTAGTCACAGGGTTCCAGGCTGTAGCACCATGCTTTTTCACAGAAAAGCTCAGTACCCATGTTGGTTTGGATGGAACCTGGTCACAGCAAGAGTAGCTACTTTGGATAGATAGGAAAAAAGAAAAATGTTGTCATACTTGGGTGATCTCTCCCTCTAGGAGTTTAGAAGGCAAACTTGCCATACCCTGAGCTACATTATAGGAAATATTCCCAGTGTTCAGCTAGAAAAGGAGGACTGCCCACGTTTTCCAGAGGAGGTTGCGGAGGATTTGGAAAGGGGTGTCAGTGAGAGCAGCCATTTTGAAACTGCTCAGTTTCATCAGGTCAGTTTTTAAAATGGGAACTTCCAAACTCCTCTTTTTTCAAGCCACCTA